AACCTCAGCTGGTTTCTTCTGCTCATTTGCTCCTTGCTGTAGGACTGGGGGAGTGGGAGCTGTGGGAGAGGGAAGGATACAGCTATGGGAGAGGGTGGGATATGCCTGAGGAACCAGTAGAGGGGGAGGAATGGAGATGTTGGAGGGGAGAATTTTCTGGGACTCTTTGAGCAGATCCTGAAGGGGCTGGTGTCTGCTTTCCTGAGGACCATGGTCAGGAAAGCATCTGAGATGGAGGTTTGGGGCAGACCTTCCCCTCTCCTCTCATGGTCCTGCATGCCCCCGCACTGTGGAGGGCTGTTTTCCTGGGGGAAGCTCTCCAGGCTGGGGAGGCAGCCCTGGCATAGCCACCTCCCAAAGGGCTTTTAGCAAATTCCCCCCCTCCTACAGCAAAGCATAACATGCACTGGTGCTGCGGCTCTATTGCTTGATGGTATTGGCTCATCCCCCCATGAGAGCCGAGTGTCAGCCTGCACTGAAGCCAGGGAGGGATTGAGAGGCTGAATCTGTAATGGATCCTTGCCAGCCCATCCGTGTTTATAGGCTCTGATCTGCTGCTTCTTGATTTTATTCCAGCCCCTCGATTGAATTTCTCACATGTAAGTGAGCCCCACGAGTCTGTCCTGGCCATATATAATGGATGGCGGTGGAGGAGAACACAAACATGGCTCAATGTCCATAACAGATGCCCAGGCAGTGGTACAGCAGGTCCCTCTGCTGAAGATCCCCCACCCACTGCCAGAACCTGCCCTCAGTGCCAGCCAATGCAAAAGGCTTCCTCTGTCCCCAGCCTCAGCCATTCTCCATTGGCCCAGGAGCAGGACAAGGCTTGGAGCCAAGTCACCAAGCCACTATCTCCAGGAACACTGCCAGTTCCACCCACTGAGCCCCGGTGCTGCCACTCGATGCCCCATCAAATATTAATACAACGCTCAACGCCTCTGTGCCCTGCCCCAGCACTGCAGCCCTGGCCCCTGCCCTCTCCAGGGCTGCCCTACCACTCTGGCCTCCCCTCACACCCCATATTGCTCATTCTTCCACACACAGGGACTTTGGGGGTGCAGCTGCACCCACTTTTGGGTGTTCCCTGAGCAGGGCAGGGCAGGCAGGACCAGACCCCCTAACCTCGGCAGAGGTCCCCAGCGGCCAGCTCAGCCCCCCGCAGCAGGTAAGACCCCGCTGGGCTGGGGCAGTGGGCATGTCCCCAGAGAATGCCAGCCCATCACTCCAGAGAGAGGGAGGGCAGGCTGGGGGTATGGGAAGTCCGGAGAAGGGTTGGTGGCCATAAGGTGGCCTCAGGCTTGGCCCTGGGCTGCAGGGGTGTTGCAGTGCATCCCTGGGGGAAAGGGGGCCGCGGGGACTCCTCAGCTTCTTCTCTGAAGGAAGCAGACCCACCTGTGGGTCTCCCCCGGGGAGGGTTCCCTGCAAGAAGTGGGGTGATGTGTCGAGTCACCCCTCAGCTGGTCATGCCTGGGGGGCCCTGGGGATGTTGAGGTCCATGTCTCCTTGCTGCCCTCCTGCAGGAGGAGGCCTGTGTCTCTGTCCTCAGCAGCCGCTCAGCCCGGCGGATGGACCCCAGCAGGTCGGTGCCGGCGGAGCTGAAGTTCCGCAAGCCCTCTCAGCGGGCCAGGATCCCGGCGCCCTTCCTCGCCCACCCGGTAGGTCGCTGGCTCGGTCCGGGGGCCCCGGCTCGTCCTCTCGAGCGCCGTTTAGCCCTTCGAGCCCCCCCGTGACTCTAACCCGCGCAGGACGGGGTGACTGGGCCGGTGGGACCCCCCGGGTCGGACCCCGCGGAGGCGGACGTGGACTCCCTTGTGCCCACGCACGACGAGCGGGGCCGGCTCATCCCCGAGTGGAAGCGGCAGGTGATGGTGCGGCGGCTGCGGGCCCGGCTGCGGGACGAGGCGGCGGGAGGGCAGGTAGGAGGGGCGCGGGGCGGGGAGGGGGCGCGGGCGGTCAGGGGTCGCTAACCTCGTGTCTCCGCAGGATACAGCCGCCTGGAGCTTCTCGCCCTCCCACCAAGCCATGCTGGGCCCCTTCGGGGAGCTGCTGACCGAGGCGGACCTGCATCAGCTGGAGAGGGCGGTGGAGAGCCTGCGGCTGCGGCGACGCGGCGAGGTGTACCAGAGCGAGCTGCGGCGCTTGGCGCGGGAGCTACGTGCCCTCCTGCCCGCCCCGCTGCTCAGCATCTCCGTCCGCAGCCCCCCGCCCGCCCCCGGGCAGCCCCTGCCCCTCTGGTGCGGCCGCCTGGCCGGCGCCGTCAGCAGCCTGGCCGCGCTGCTGGGCCACGCCGAGGGGGTGTGGGGGTCCCGCGCTGTCGCCGCCGCCCCTGTCGCTGACCCCGCTCCCCTTGTCGCCGGCGGGCAGCCCCGGGAGCCGGCGGGCAGCCTGGCGCAGCGGGAGATCCGGCAATGTGGAGTCTGCGTCCGCAGCTTGCGCGGCGCCTTCGAGTCCGCCTGGGGGGCGGCGGGGGCCGCGCCGGCCGGGAGCGGCGAGGGGGAGGCCGCCAGCGACTCGGGCATCAGCTGCGAGGAGGCGTTTTCTGACGGCGGCGGCACGGGGCCGGGGCCGGGGCCGGTGTCGGTGTCGGTGTGCGGCAGCCTAAGGAAGGAACGGATCGTGATGCTCTTCCTGAGCCACTGGAGACGCTCCGCCTACGCGCCCCCCCGGCCCGCCGGGGACCCTCGGCAGACGGCGGGGAGTGGGGCGGCCCGCTTGGAGCGGCAGCGGGCGGCCATTCAGAGGCTCCTGGGCTCCTGGCGGGACGCCGTCTGCCGCCGCCCCCCGCCGCCGCCCCCCGCCCGTGCCCTGCTGTCACCGGAGCAGTTCGTGGCGGCGGCGGGGGGCGGCCCGGCCGAGTACGAGAGCTTGTCGCTGGAGATGTTCATGCTGGGCTATTTCCGCATCTTGGAACAGGAGCTGCCCCCCGAGGAGCGCCGCGGCCGCCACCTGCTCTGCTTCGAGGTGTTCGAGCAGCTGGGCCGGCACGGCTGGCGGGCGGTGCGCGCCTTCCACCGCGCCGTCACCGACGAGATCGCGGCTGGGAGGCGCAGCTGGCGCGACGGCTTCGACGACATCAAGGCACGGTACTTCGGGTCCTCGCAGAGCCCGGCCCAGCGGCCGGGGGAGGCCGGGGAGGAGGGGGAGGAGATTTGCCGCTACATCGATCGCAGCTTCGCCTTTTGGAAGGAGAAAGAGGCCGAGATCTTCAGCCTGGAGGAGTGATGCCGGCGGGCTGCGGAGTGCTGTGGAGGCCGCGGGATGCAATAAACACCTTCTCGGTTCTCTTCTAGCTGAGCGAGGTTTCCCGGGGCGATGGAGAAAGCTGCCGAGCGAGGGGGCTCGCCCCAGCATTTCGATCCCCCCCTCCCCCGGGTCGGGTGTCTCGGTCCCCGGCTGCCGCCGCGTGTTTGCGGCCGTCGCGGAGTGAGATAACGGCCTATATTTACACCGGCACCGGCAGTCCCGGCCGGGGGAAGGAGGAGGGGCATCGCGGGGACCCCCGCCTACAGACAGGGCGGAGGGGGCTGCTGTGGGAGCGGGTACTGCCAGGCACGGTGCCCAGCCGACCCCCGCACGAGGGGGAGGCTTTACTAAAGGCGGCGACGCCGCGGGGCGACGGGGATGGGCGGTGGCGACGGCTCTGCCCGTGCGGTGCCTTTAAGAGCAGGGAGCAGTGTCCAGGTGCTGCCTAAAAATAGCATGTGGCCCCCTGTCCCGGCTGATCCCGTGTCGCGCGGCGTGTCCCTGCCTAGCGCCGGGACGGTGACCACTTCCCTCCCGCGGGCCGGCCGGGGCTGTGGAGCGCTGGTGAGAGCGGGAGCGACTGCGCCGGGGGGACCTCAACCCAGCCCCAAATCACCCCCAAAAGGCCGGTCGCAGCCCCAGCAGGGCAGCTGCGGCGTGGGGAGGAGAAGCCATGGCCTGGGAGCGGGGGCGCTGCGGGGAGCGCTTCTGCCACCACTGCTGATCGTAACTCGGGCGCTGGGAAAGCGAGGGGGGTGCCGGGGCAGGGGGAAAGGGAGACACTATCGCCTTTTCCTGGCAGGGAAACCCTCGCCTCGCTCTGCTCGGGTGCTGCCTGCCAGGCCCCGCGGCCATCCTCAGCACCATGGTGAGGAATGTGGACGACTTTGACTTCTGCCTGCCTTCACACGCCCAGGGCGTGCTGGAGGGGCTGCAGCAGCTGCGCACCAACCCTAAACTGGCCGATGTGACACTGGTGGTGGGTGGGCAGGAGTTCCCTTGCCACCGTGGCGTCCTGGCCCTCTGCAGCCATTACTTCTATGCCATGTTCTCTGGAGACTTTGCCGAGAGCATCGCGGCGCGGGTGGAGCTGAAGGAGGTGGATCCCAGTGCACTGGAGATGCTGCTCAACTTCGCCTACACAGGGAAGGTCACCATCAACCAGGGCAACGTGGAGGGGCTGATGCGGACCTCCAGCCAGCTCCACTTCCCTGCTATCCAGAAGGTCTGCAGCCGCTACCTCCGGCAGCAGATGGACGCCACCAACTGCCTAGGTATCTGTGAGTTTGGTGAGAGCCACGGCTGCCCTGAGGTCTCCTCCAAGGCTTGGTCTTTCTTGCAGGAGAATTTTGAAGCCGTCTCTCTGCAGGAGGAGTTCCTCCAGCTCTCCAAGGAGAGGTTGGCCACCTACCTCTCCAATGACCAGCTGCAGGTGCAGGAGGAACGTAGCCTGGTCGAGGCCGTGCTACGCTGGGTACGCCACGACCCGGGGCCCCGAGCTCAGTTCCTGCCTGAGCTGCTGGAGCTGACCCACCTGGTCTCACTGCCTGACCAGTACCTGCAGAACCTACTTGCCACTGAGCCCCTTGTGCGTGACTCAGATGCCATCAAGGCCCTCGTCGCCCGATCCTGCACCATGGTGGGTATCCCCTGCCCCCAAATCCCACTTCCTGAGCCTGGAGGGAGGAGGAGCCTCACTGTTCTGCTCTGGCCTCTACATCAGGGGCAGAGCAACACTGGTGCCCCGAAGAACGCCCCAACCCCACCACAGAAGCTGGAGGAGGTGCTGGTGGTGGTTGGTGGCCGCGTGCTGGAGGATGGTGAAGATGAGGGGAGGGAGCTGGAGATGCCAGCTGCCTCCAGGAACTTTGCCTTCTACAACCCCAAAAGTAGTAAGTGCCCACCTCCCCCTTCACTCTCTCCCATGTTAATTAACCCTCTGTCTACCCCAAAACCACCTCTTGCCAAACTAGTGTCAGTTTGGAGGGGCATTGCTTGAAACTGGGGTGGCTTAAGGAGTGCCATTGCTGGCTGGGAGGTCATTGCTTGATTCTCCTGGGTTTCAGAGCGATGGATGGCTCTGCCTGACTTCCCTGATTACAACAAATGGGGCTTTTCCCTGGTGACTCTGAACAACGATGTGTATGTCACAGGTGGGTTCTAGGGCTGCTGGTGCAGGGTGGGCGTCTTCAAGAAATAGGGATGGATGGTAGGGGACAAACATGAGCACAAGGCACTAGCATGGGGCCTGGGGCTCCTCTCTGAGCGAAGTCCTCTTCTTACTCCCTGCTTTGGCAAATCCGGATGCTGGCAAGAGATGCCCAGGGACAGCTGCACTCAGAGACAGTGGCCCGTCTGACCCGTCTCTCCCCAGGCGGCTCGCGGGGGTCCCAGAATGATACGTGGTCAACGACCCAGGCATGGTGCTTCTGCCCCAGGGACGGCCTCTGGAAGCCCATCGCTTCCATGCTGAGAGCCCGGACAAACCACACCAGTGCTGTCCTCAATGGTGAGATCTACGTCATTGGGGGTAAGGCTGCAAGGATGGATGTGGTGGATGCTGCTAGGGTGGGGGTTCATGGGTGCCCCAGAGCAGCGGGGTGGCTGCAGCGTCCCGTCACCCTGCAGGGACGACAGTGGATGTGGTGGAGGTGGAGCGCTATGACCCCTACAACAAGAGCTGGTGTGCCATCAGCCCAGCCCTCAAGTACGTGAGCAATTTTGCAGCCGCCAGCTGCTCGGGCAAGCTCTACCTGGTGGGCTCCTGTGCCGTCAAGTACAATGCGCTCACCCTGCAGTGCTACAACCCCGTCCAAGGTGAGAGTGTACCCTGCCACCATGACCCACCAACACTGTCCTGGGGAGGGTGGTGAGGGGGGTCGCCCCAGGCAGTTGACCCCCTGTGCTTTCAGGCGTGGTCCTGTGGGATGCGGGCAGGTGCTAACAGGGTGCAGTGATGGCTGTGGCACAGGGAACACGGCTCCAGCAGGAGCACAGCTGCCGGCAGCACGGACCTGAGTCACAGACATCTGACACAGCCTGGACCTGAGCTTTAGTGGAGTGGGATCTCTGGGGCATAGGGGTGGGGGAGGCTGCCTGCCTTAGGAAGAGACTAACCCCCTGTGACAATGCCACCTCCTTGAGTAGCCTCTCCCCCATCCCACAGCACCACTACAAACCATGTCCCCATTCCCTCTATTTTTTATGCCTGGGGTGGGGACTGTGGGTGCAGGTCTGCCTGGCTACTCTGCCTCCTCCCTTTCAAATTCCCCCTGAAATAGCCATGGGCTCAGCGATGCTTTTTTCAGTCACTGGCAGCTGCATCGAGAGCCAAGGGTGGGACGTGCTGCTAATGCCTGCTCCTTGCAGATTTGTGGAGTGTGATCACATCCCCCTTCATCCCCAAGTACCTCTCGGCCCCACGCTGTGCCACCCTGCGTGGGTTCATCTACCTTATTGGGGACAACACCAAGAAGGTCTACGTGTACAACCCGGAGGCCAACATCTGGCAGAAGGTTGTGGGATGTGGGGCCAGGCAAAATCACCCTCCCAGGGAGGCGGGGAAGGTGTTCTCACCTGCTCCCCTGGGTGCCAGCACCCCTTCTCCCTCCTGCCCACTCATCCCTTGGCTCTGTTAACTCCTGTGGGGCTGAGGATGCCCCAGTCCTTCTTCCCCTGCTCCCCCATCCCTCCTGCACTAGGCACCGGGGGCCCCAAACCTCACAGAGAGGATGGGGCAGGGAGACACATCTGGTGGATAGATGTCCTCTGCAGTGGGAGTGGGAGGTCACTAAGGAGTCCCTGCACATCTCACCCTGCCCCTCAACACAGGTGCAGCTCCTGCACGTGCTCCATGAGAACGGTGGGATGGTGGCACTGGGCGACCGTCTCTTTGTCACTGGTGGCCACTGGAAGGGCATGGATGGGGACTACCGGGTGGAAATGGAGGTGTATGACTGCACCAAGGATCTCTGGACACGGGAGGGCTCCCTGCCCTGCCTCTGGCTCTTCCACAGCTCTTCCTCCATCTTCATGGACACCTCCAAGTGGACAGAGGCTTTCCAGAGTGACCATGGGTGGTAGGAGAGCCCATCACCCTATGTGGCCACGCTCCCCTCTTGCATCTCCCTGCAGCCTGTTCAGCCCCATGAGTGGGGATGGAAAGCCCTCTGCCAGGCTGGCTGGGGCAGCAGGAGTGTGTTTCCCCACCACTGCAGGGAAAAGGCTTTTCCTTATAAACATGCTTTGGCTAATGCTCTCTTCTTTTGGCTTGTGGTTTGTTTTTTTGGTTGGTCGATTTTTTTTTTAACTGCCTTTCCCCCCTCCAAAACTCTAAAGCTTTTAGGGTATTACATGGCCTCCCAAAGCGTGGTCCATCCCATCAAAGTCAGATGTCGCTGCTTGGGAGTCACGGCCTCTTTCCCCATTCCACTGACATCCAGCATGGAAAAACCCAAGTGGGATCAGAGGAATCTCTTGCCCAACACCCAAAGCTCTCCAGCCCCTCTCTGGCTTAGATTTAAGTGTCAGACTCGTCCCAGTGCCCTGTGGCACAGAATGACAGGAGACAAGCGACATTTTGGATGCTTTGTGTCCTCAGGTGGCCGAGCAGCCTGTGGTAGGGTGTGTAATCCTGGTTTCTCTCCTGTGAGACACAGCGTGCGTCCCAGGGAAGCGACCTGCGCTCATGGCGAAGCAGCCAGCACCCGGGCACCTCCCTGCTCCTGCTGCGGTGACTGCTGCCCCAGCCCGGTCTCTGCGGGCACCGGTGGTAGAGGGATGGGCGAGCACAAAGCGACGCTCCCCTGTCGGCCAGGCCTACAGCCAGCACGGCTGGACGGTTTAGCTGTCCCGCCTTCGGTTGTTCGCTATTTTAGAAACGTTAAACGTGCCCGGGGCGGGGTGGGCACCTCCCACTTTAGGAGCCCCGCGCTGCTCCCCACGGCCACGCGGGGTTTTAAACGCGAGGGGGTCCCCGCGCCCCGAGGGCAAAGCCCGGCAGTAGGGCGGGTCCGAGGCGGGGTCGGGACCGCCCTCCCGGTAGCGGCGGCGGCGGGATGCGGCTGTCGGGGCTGTGCCTGGCGCTCCTCTGTGCCGCCGGCGCCGAACCCCCGCGGGCAGCTCGGGAGCGGCCGCCGGGCCTGGGAGCAGCTGCGGGATGGGCGGCGGCGGCGACGGGACGCGGAGGGCCGGGGGCGGCCGGCGTGGACCCCCGGCAGGCGTGGATGCTGCTGGCCGGGAGCCCCGGGCGGGGAAGCGGCGGTCGGGCCCGTGGCGGGCCGGGGGCGGACACGGCACCGGCGGGCGGCCGCTCTCCGGGAAAACCATCCCCGGCGGCGGAGCAGGGCCGTGTGCCAGGGGCTGCCCCGGACACCCCCGCTGTGCCCGTGGAGCTCCTGAGGGAGCTGCAGATCCTGCTCAGAGGTACCGGGGCGGGGGTCGGAGGCCAGGGCGGGAGCGGAGGGGGGACAGCGACCCCGAGGCACAGTAGGGCTGGGCGGCGGAGACTGGAAAAGTGGAGGTTCTTTCCTAACGCCGAACCCCGGTGGGGTTTGGGGTCAGGAATAGCAAAGGAGCAGGCAAAGGTGCAGACGGCAGCCTGGGAAGAGCATAAGGAAGAGGAAGAACGCAGCCCCCAGGCCGGGGTCCATCATCGCGTGAACGCAGCCTTCCACTGCCGAACGCGCGAAGACATCTCCGTGGGGCAGAGAACACGACAGGAGCTGCAGCTGTTCTACATCGTTAGTACCCAGCCTGCCCCTCTTCCCTGTCTGCGGGGACACCTGCCCAGGCACAGGGGCTCCTTCTCTAACTCCAGCCATTCCCTGTCCCAGCCTGAGAGGGAGGAGATGTTTCACCGTGGCCTGGGGCTGAACCTGACCAGTGGGCAGTACACAGCCCCCATCGCAGGGTACTACACCTTCACCACCACGCTGCACATCGGTGAGCCCTTGGGCAGCCCCACGGCCCTGGCAGGGTGGTCTGGGATGGCTCTCACCCCCGGCTCTGTCCCAGTGCACAGGGAGCCGCCGAAGAAGAGGCAGGTGTGCCGGGGGACGCGCCTGCGCGTGCTGATCTGTGTGCAATCCCGCTGCCAGCACAACAGGTATGGCAGGGAACACCAAGGGACTCTGGGCCAGGGACAGGGGAAGGAGTCCAGCATCCCTGGGAAAGGAGGGGGTATGCTCTCCCCAGCACCACCCTCCGTCTTCTGCAGAAATTTGGAGACTTCATCCCGGCTGGAGAGCAGGGGTGACCTTTTCACCATCTCTGTCACTGGAGTCCTTTACCTGCAGGTTAGTGGTGTCAGCACCACTGGGGACAGTACTGGGCTGGAAGGTGCCTTCTGTGGCCCCAGCTCAGGGCTGGGCATCAGGTCTGCTTCTCCAAGCCCCAAGGACACTCAGGGTAGAGCTCTGCTGCTGCACTGTAGCACAGACCATGGCTGGACTGCCCTAAAGCCTTGTGATGTTCTTTTCCCAGAAGGAAGGGTGTGGGCACCTCCACCTCTCAGCTGCTGCGCACAGGGGAGAGATCTCTCCTTGGCTCTGCCAGGTCGTGCCTGGTGCCCAAGAGAGGTGTCCCAGCCCTGCTAAGCCCTCTCTCCCCCCAGGCCGGGCAGTACGCCTCTGTTTTTGTGGAGAACGCTGCAGGCTCTCCCCTCACTGTTCGAAGCGGCTCCGATTTCAGCGCCGTTCTGCTGGGGGTGTGAAGAGGCACCAGGCAGGGCACTGAACCTGTGCCAGGAGCAGCCAGACCCTTCCCTCTGCCAGCCATGATCACATCTCCCCTGCTCAGCACTGAGCCCAGGGAAGACCATTTGCTCTTGGCAGGAACTGCAGTCTGGTCTGATACTGCTCATGCTGCAGAACCAGCTGAAGATGAACAAAAGATCATGGAGAAGATGATGATGATAATAAAACAGCCTGACAAGGACCTAAAGGCATTCACTTTTAACTAAAGGCTAGGCTTGGAAATTTATCTTGGAAAATGCTGCTGACAGTGCCAGATGTCAGATGGTTGCCTTCTCCTCAGGGCTCAGCTCCCACCATGCTTGGGACAAAGCCCCCCACCTCCATTTTTGCCCTCAGTGGACTTCCCTCCCCTGCCCAATGTCTTAGCAGCCCCAACCAGATTATGGATCACTTTAGCTGCCCTGGAGTGTATGAGCAGTGAATGTTTGCTGGCAGAAGCAAACATCCTGCACACTAATCATTAAAGCAATGTCCCAGTAACGCGGCACATCCCATTAAAGCAAATTCTTGTGCCATGGCTTTCCACGCCAGGCGTTCCCTGCCCATGGCACGGGGCCCAGGCTGTGGGCAGCACAGATATGCTCTTTGCTCTGGCTCTGATAGCTGCCTGAGCTGAAGATGGGCACAGGGCTACGTGACCGAGCAAGGGCTGCGGGAGAAGGACCCGGGCGCTTGATTTCTTAGTAGCACTTAGTACTGGGCAAGTTGTGCCAGCAACACCTCAAGATAGCCTGAGCTGCACCCAAGCCCCACCTTCCCCAGGGATCCACGCACACAGGCAGGAGAAGGCACCTTCTCGGTGCTGAACCTTGCTCAGGAGGGCTTTTCTGGCTGCATCTCCTTGAGGAGCCTCGTGAAGTAGCTGTTGCAGCAATTTGTGGGTAAGAGTGTTTGGATCTGTGGAGGAGGGGGGTTAGGTTCCAGCTGTACAGTCTGAATGCTGACTTCTCCCTCAGGGCAAAGACAACTTCTATCTGAAAGCAAAGCTGTGCTTCTCCCACAGCTGATCTGGCAGGCAGCAGCCTCCTGGCAGGGATGAGGCCCCTGCAGCTCCTGCCCAGCCGAGGAGGTTGGCCCTGGCATCACCTCCCAGTCCCCATGCATGATAAGCCAAGGGAGCCTCACTCTGATCAGCTGCCTCTCTTCCTACTACACACACCTGAAAAGGTGCAAAAGAACTCACTGTTCAAGAGTGCGGCTTGCCCAGCTGTAAGCTGTCCTGTGCCTGTGAGGTATCAGGAGCCCAGTGTACTCAAACACAAAACTGAAAGAGCTGATTCATTTGGAGGTACTAGAGGGGTAATTTAAGTGTTGGGAGGGGACAGAAGCTCAGTTAGCTCCAAAGGGAGAGGAACTGTATGCAGAGCACTTGTACATGGGCCACCCTGAAGGGTGATCTTGGGAGCTCTCCTCCATAGCAGGATGCTGCTTGAGCACTGAGCCAAGGCGAGGGCATTTTCAGGAAACCTCCTGCAGACCCCACCCTACCAGGAAATTCAAACAAGTAATTTTTTTACTTCCACTAAAGCTGGGGCTGAACCTGCTTTTCTAACTATCTGTCTACTTCCAAGCATGGTGAGACCTGGTCCACAGCACTTTCTTTTCCCCTTTGCCCTGAAAAATGGACATTTTACAGGAATTATTACTAACCATAACAACCACTGCTGTACCACAGTGCTGCATATTCCGATCCTAACTGGAGCTGTGCTTTCAGAATTCTTCCTAAAGGGAAGGAAAGAAGCATTTTAAGAGGAGGGAGAGGAAGGGAACACAGTTAGAGAAGAACAAGCTGACATTCCTCTCACCAGCTCAGACTGGAATGTAGAGGGGCCTCCTGGAGGGAGCCACAGAGCTGGGAGCATGGCTCAGCTCTCACAGCATGGCCAGAGCCCTCCCCAGTGCACGAGGTGGAAAAAGGGAGAGGTGAAAAAGGAGGGCAAGTTGCTCTTCTGAGATCTGCCATTAGGGTTCCTTTGCTACACAGTCTGAAGTAATTCTGTGCTACTCTGTCTGGGCTCTCCAAATTTGGCTTTTGTGAGCAGAAGCAGCAGAGTGAGTTGCTAACAAAGGGATCTCAGCTCATCCTGCAGTGCAACCTTATATCAAAGTACACAGGAATGGCTGGGAGCAGAACAAGCTGGCAGAGGGCAAGCACTACCCAAAGTCTGCGCCAGACACCCAGTTCCTTCCTCAGTCCTCTGCAGGAGATGTGGAGAGTTAGTGTGAGCCAGGCTGTGTCAACTGACTAGTGCTGGAGCAGAAATCCACGAAAGATGGTCAACCCACCTGTCCAAACAACAGGACAGTTTTTGTGTGCTCCACTAAACAGACAGCCCAGGATCTGGGACCATCTCCCAAAGTTCTGGGAATACAGATAACAGAAACGAGTCTTGGAAGCCTCACAGCCCTGTCCAGGGCTATGCACAAAATGGCAGAGATACCACTGCATCAACCTGCCCACCTCCCTGGGGCTGCAACTGCCTCCTCAGAGCAAGGAGGTTGTGCAAGTAACCCCCACGCAGACCCCTTGGCTCACCTCCCTCCCTGCCCCGGTTCACCCACAGCACGGGAGAGCTACGTAATCAGAAATTTAAGTGCTTTGGTCCAATCCATTTAGCTTTCATTCTGTCATTTGGTCTTAAGCCTAATTTTCTCTGGAAAACATCACACTGTCTGCAGCAACAGCTGGTAGAGGCACTGGGTCAGGATCAGATACTGGACATTTATTAGCAACAAGTACCTAAAACCTGAGATGCAGGCTCTGTGCTTGTCTGTGCTATCTGAGGAGCAGGCCTGTAGCTCAGCTGCCTGGCAGGTCTATTTGCTGAAAACACTTTTCCCAAAAAATATCACAAGCAAACTCCAGCCACATTTTCCATATCAGCATTGGGGTAAAAACTCTCAAAACGTTCTGCAAGCAGAGGGCAGGTACATTGCTGCTCTGCAAGCAGTGTTTGTGTTCCTCAGCTGCAGGCAACCTCACAGCCCAGCTTGAGAGTCAAAAGATTTCCTTCCCAGCACAAAGAGGACAGCTCACACCACACCCCAAGCCAGTGGCTACAGTACTGTACGGTACAGTCTGTCCAGGAGCTCCCACGGAGCCCTAAGAATTCAGGACTCTCCCAGAACCTTGCACAAAGCTCAAGGAAATGGACAGCAGAACTGCCCCGTTTCAAACAGCTGGCAGAGCTCATGCTCCCAGATACCTCTTGCTAGCACCCCTGCCAAATGGGTTTACTGTGGTTGCCAAGACATTCACAGAGGGCTGACAGGAGCTGCCTGCATAGGCTGATCCACACTGGCAGCCACTTAGCAAACCTTGCTAGCTAAGTGAGCTAAGACTATTAGAAAAAAAAAACCCAACTTTATTTACACTGAAGAGCAGGACCCTCCCTCCCTCGGCCAAATATGCACACGGACAGACCTCTCCCTCTCCTCTCATGCAGCTCATCCCTCAGTGCTCTATCCGGACCACCATGACCGTGACGTTGTCGGCCGAGCCTCGCTGCACCGCCTTGTTGGCCAGTCTGTTACACGCCGCTTCGTACCGAGCGTCTGCTTCCAGCTTCCCTTCTCTCATCTGGATGTTCTTATCCTGTTCGGACAAGGAAACATGACACTGACTGCCCCCAGCAAAGGCAGGTACAAGCAAATTGTATCTTCCAAGCTTGGGGAAGCAAAACAAAGACAGTGTCGGGAATAAGGGAGGATACGCTGGCAGAAGTCTGTGTGATGCCCCCTGCACTGCCAAACCCAGCCCCCATGTTGCATTCTCCTCACCTCCAGGCAGGACACAATGAAGTTCACAGCTTCTTCTGGCGTAAAGACTTTAAAAAGGCCATCACAGGCTATCAGAATGAACCTGGGAATCAAGTGGAGACAGGTTCCAAGGCTGAATCTTTGGCTCCCCGGCTACAGCAAAATCCCTCCAATTTATTTTATGAACATCCACACTCCAGTGCAAAGGAAAGATACCATAAAGCTTATCTGAAAATCCTTCAGAACCTACTATTCATGGAGCTGAGGGAATTCAAAATACAGGGCAAAGAGCCAGGTCACGAATGTGTGACCTAGATCAGGGCACCCTGGCAGTCCTGCCAACACCAGCAGGATCACATCCAACACCCTGCTGGAAAGCTCCATTGTTTCTCTAAGAACTGCTTCTTTCCTTTGAGTCCCTTTCATTCACATATTTTCCCTGTGAAGCCACTAATGCAAGGAAACAGAGAAACACAGCTTAATCCTTTGTGTGCATTGCTTTAAAGCCTTTACACTTCTGAGGTACATGATAATTTAAATACATAAATTCAAAAGAAAAGCAAGCAGCAGAACTGTGATGGGAAAACTGACAAAAAGTGTTGCCATGGGCTGCAAAAGGTTGAAGGGATACAAAGCCCAAGGCAAGGACAGCATCCTAGGAGGGATCCTAGGATGGGGGGGACAGCCCACTGTGCACTACTCCCTGCCTGCACATGGAACTGTATTAACCAGGAGCCCTAACCAGAATCACTAGACAAGGAAAACTACAACCAACTCACAGAGGTGGTCAGCCTGCACATGGCTCTGATGACATCATTTCAGAGCCTGATACTCAGGGTATCTTTAGAAATATTTTAGTGGATCCCTTGATATGGAACTCTAATCCCAGAAAAAGCATCAGTACTGGGTTACACTCTCACCTCTGAGAGGCTGTAGGGTCATAGTGACATGAATGCTCACTGCAATTTGTCACTGCCAATCATACTATGGAAAAGTACCTCAAATCTTCAGATATCAGAGCCGAATGTGATGGTATTTATGGGCACTACAGCTGCTAGAAACAACTCTTGGACAAGATGGACTTCTGAGAACTCAAGCGTTAACCAACTGCTTGAACACTGCTGTGTGAACTTAGAGCACAAAGAACATCTAAGGCTCGTGTATGCTAGTGACTGCTATGAGGCTGGTTCCTCCAACAGGAGCCTTCACAGTATCTTGGCAGAGCAGCAGCATTATCCCACTGTACTGATAAGGAACATGAGCAGAGAGACATCAGCAGTAAGAGCATCCTCTAATTCTGGGGATCAGTCTGAAGTGCCTTGGCCCCAACAGCAGAGCAAACAGGGTTGTGCAGTTTGTGCTACTTGTGCTGAGCAGAGCACTGGGACTCGGCCAACCCCCAGTGCATGGGCAGCTTTACCTGTCGTTGTGTGTGAGTTGGCAGCGTTTGATATCTGGCACAGAGATAACACCGCAGCGTTTGTACTGGCCGTCCCCAATGGAGCGGGAAACCTCCAGCACTCCCAGGACTCTTCCGTCCCTGCACAGGGAAAGAAAACACTGAAAGCCCTCCCCACACACGTGTATTTTGCTGCACTGCCTGAT